ATCATCATCATCATCATCTTTTTTTTTGGTTCTTCTTCTTCTTGTTCTTCCTAGTCTTTGTTGCTAATTTTCCAATTAATTTTCACTTTTCTCAATGTTTGTCTGCTCCTTTTCTGTCTCGTTAAATTTGTTCACCAATTAGGCTGATTGAATATTAGCCAATGCTGTACATTTAATAAAGTAATAATTCTATCAAGAAACATCTAATGAAACTTTTTTTCTTTTATACCTCAAATCTGATTGAAAGAATAAGAAAGGAAGCTGAAAACAGTAGAATCAAAATAGTATGGCAACTTTACTGTCAACTATAAATTGTTATATTCATCAAGTATCGCCATAAAAATATATTATATGGGCATTAAATTATAAGTATCAGTAATAGTAGATCGCTCAAGGTTTGACTTCGTGGGAGGAGGAAATTTTTTATTTTTTGCAAAAAATTCTATGGAAGATTCTATAGCGAGGTCTTATTGCGAGTAGATAAGAAAGCGAAAAACTGCAAAGGAGAAAAGTAATGAAAACTGGAGGAAACAGAAGTCCACACAGGGAGATATTATGCAAGCAGCAGCAGACGACATCAATTTTAGTTGAGTAATATGTACCACAGATCAAACGTACTTGAATTCTGACCGGCAGTACTGCTTTGCATTATCTGTATAATTTTAAATTTATCTAAAACTATTTGCCAAGATTAATTGTTCTTTCTTTAAAAGTTACGATTAACACTCAGCAGCCGGAATTATTAAGCCGTTGCATTCAAAGTGGTCTATTTTGAAAAAGTAAACCTTTATGACGACAACTTTTTAAAAAGCAGCTGACCAGACACAAATTTAGTATCAAAGTTACTTACATTACTAGCTTTTATTCTCCGAATTTTTTGTAGATTTTCTTTTTTAAAAATGATATTCTTGACAATGAAAACTGTTATGTGTTTTGCTTACTTTAATTTAGCAAATTACTAACTACTTCTGGCTGTTGAAATTTTTACGAACAAGAAAAAGTAACCTAAGCAGACAGAAGCTCAAAATGCCTGTAGAACTATTATCAAGTTGAGCAAAAGAGGTTTTATAAAAAAGTTGCTTCTGACTTTCTAAAATGAAATCCTACTTCTTCTGATAATGCTTGTTTTATTCTAAAATACAATAACTTTAAAAATTCAATATAAACAGGGTTACATTGAAGACAAGAGCTTAGTATAATACCTGAAAGGTGAGACAGAAAAAAAAAGTAGAGAATTTTCAAAAACTCATAACCTTTTACAGAATCTGGTTTGTTTCTCCATTTACTTGATTGACTTGTGCACTTGAGCAATTCTGAATTGATACATTTTGTTCAACTGTCGAATCAAAATTTGATTTCAATTCTCGCAAAACACGCTGTCATTTGCAACACTGCAACGCAAGTACAACTGAAAAAACCATGCGATTGGTCTTTTACTTCAGGTTATAGCAGGAATAAAATCATGTAGCAAAATTAGTGCTGGATTTAAATAAGGAAGCGTGCTAGGCATATTAAAAATAACCTAAACAGAGCAGCAGGCTTTATAAAACTTAGGTTAAGAGAGTATTTTGAAAAGCCCTCTACAGTAAAGGTAATCGTAAATAGTAGTTACTAAGATCTGTAATTTGCTAATTGACCAATGTGCAGACAGCACAGGCATTATTCAAATGTCTGTCGCGTCAATGAGAGAGAAGCATATTTGGTGGTTGACAGTGGCTAGGCGGATGAAAAGCGACAGGCAAAAATATGAAGACAACTTGAGTCGACATGTAACCAACGAAACCGAAGATCCAGTAGTGTAATTCAAGAGCACATAAGCCTTCTTGCTAGAAGCGTTATACCCTAAGAAAAGAGATCAAAACGTCTAGGGGATTGGTAATGCAAAAAGAGCGCTTGCACGACCGTAAGTGCTTAGTCTTTTTATTCTGGGGTGAGCAGAACCACAATGTAGATCCCTTCAATCTGGTTACCGGAGTTTAATAAAAACTGTGGATTTTGACTAGCAGTTTAATTTTTTCAAAACTAAAATCAAATTCTGTGAAAAAAATTTCTTGCAAATCAAAAAATCAATTTATTTACTTTCTTTATCTGAAAGAAAAGCCAGCAAATCAGTGAGCAGATATACGTTTGAAACTATAAAGCAACAGTAGAAATTCTAGAAGAAACTTTGACTGATTAACTCGAGCTAAACTCAGGTAACTAAACGTCTTAGATGAGAAAACTGGAGTCTTACTTTTAAACGCTGGTTGAGGGCAAACTCCAAATTTGGGGAACAAAAGAAATTGAATTATAGAAGGATGAAGACAATCAGTTATTTGTAAATTTACACCGGCTTTTGGACGATTCAGGCAACAAAGTGCAGTAGTTGTCGCTGAAAGGCAGCAAAAAAATTAAAGAGCAACTCGTAATCAGAGCAAAAGCCGTGGGGAAAGTATAAACAAAGCAAATACAAAAACCGTAGCCAGGAGATAGAGAAGAAGTCCGCCGATCTCTAATGGCCGTATTATTTTCTAAGTTGTACTCAAAACAATTTACTTATACCATGAAACTCCAGTCAGAACTCTATCTGAAATCTCAAGTGAAAAATTTATTTGAACTATTTTGGTAAAAGTTGGGAAGACAAGTGACTGAACTAATTTCGAACAAACAACGAAAAACTGTATATTAGAAACCTGAAATTTTAAACAGACACCACCCTGGATTTTACTCTCAACTCGGTTCTTTGACTCCCTGACTTATATCGTTTGTAACTTTTTGAGTATTCCTGTTACTACTGCTACTTACTCTTTGGTTTTGAAAATAACTTTATTTGGGCATAATAAGA